AGTGGCTGATAAAAGTGGGTATTTATAGTCTTTATGAACAGTGACCTGTCTGTGAGTATGCTAATGACTGTCTGACTCAATGGTACAGGAGAAACTTTCCTTTACAGTTACTGGGATCACATATTTTAAGTGTACCTCTAACTCCAAAGAGTACTCTGTTCATATTCGTTCTCAACGAAAGAAGGTTGGACTGTTTGGTTCACTTAATTTAGCAATTGAAATGGATGTGATTGTTTAATGGTATTGAAAAATGCTGTTTCACCAAAACAGGCCATTTTTGACCACATTTTCACCATAAATCAGATCACAATTTCATGGACTTTGTTGAGCAGTGTGCTTGGTAAAAACTTTTCAGTGTCCATTTTAACATGTGTTTAATGTTGCTGGTACTTCCTGCATAAGTGACCATTTATTTTCCATGATGTCTCACCAGATGAGTGTTCAGATTTCTTTTTCAGTCCTCCCACTAACCAATCAATTGCAGTCTTTTGTTCAATGTTCCTTCCTTCTTGTCGAAGAGTGAGTCAAACACATGATGCATTATAAACAGCTTCAGCCGTGCTTGTGTTTAGATTTAACACCTTTCGGGAGCCTGTATTTGGATTTGTACAACCACCCTGAATGGGCCATCTGATTGGAGGGCCACCTGATCGCATTAATGCTGCAGACCGGTCTTACATCTCGCTCGAGCCTAAACGAGGATGTCTTTTGTTTTGAACCCTTATCAGACACACTTTAGTGGGAGAATAAAACCGTTAGCTGGTTCATGACAGTTTACGTCAGATCATGGTGCCTAAATACAGATGAAATTGGATTCTTATTTGAATTGATATTCACTCAGATAAACCAACAAACAAAGTTTACATGCAAAGCAGCATGACTTGACAACATGTACTGTGCACTGCCTGTGCACAGAACAGTCTTCTTTTCACTCTATGAACATGATCCTGCATTGGAATAGCACCCGTCTTGTGCAATCGGCAAATGTTTTTTTAAGAAGACTAAAAATAAGAAAGCTGAAGAACCACAGAAAATTGGGCCTTTTGTTGATCTTTATATGTAAAGCTTGTAAAACCTTTTCTTTCAGATTTCAAAGCTAAAATCGTGAATTGAGAGGATGTACGCTCTTTCTCTTTCGGATGAGATCACTTTAAATTAGCTCAGTTTGATATTTTAGGTGTAATCCTTTTGTACATTATCACACGGGTGGGAACTCAGAGGAACACAGTGTTCAGTACGGCAGCTGGTGCTCTCTGTCTTCCTCTTTCAGACCCTTCTATCCGTCCGGTGATGTTACAGCTTTATTTTCAACCGAACCACGACACAAAGCACAGAAGCTGTTAGTGTTGACACTTGCTGGGAGGCACCTCGAAAGGTCACGGGACGTAATAATAACAGCGGGGGGCATTAGGGATAATGATAGTGGACATTTATTATACAGGAGCTCAAGCAAGTCCCTGCAGGGTCCTGGCAGGGTCAATCAGACATGATGCCAAATTTCATAAATAACCACATTTACGCTGTGCCTTAATTGTTCCCCTCCGTCACTTTACTACCTTTGAAAATAGACTTTATGACCAAGCTGGGACTGAGGTGCCGGATGAAATAATTCATTATTAACGGGATTTTTCACCGTCAGTGGTATCCTCTTATCCTTGTTTTTTCTCTACAATCCAATTGTAAATTAGGAGCAGATAGACATCTGACATCGTCAGAACAAGAGCTTATCTCACCTCTAACTGAGAGGCAGGACAGAGGCTGTCGTGGATTCAGTGACATAAACTAACCGGGCAGGAAGAGCGTCCGAAGCCTCGGGATTAGGTGAAAGACCCTGAAGAGGGCGAGGGTCCGCGGCTGTAAAGGGAGAACGAGGATGGAGGCACAGAGAGACTGAGAGGCAGATCAAGCCAGAATAAGATCAAATGAGACTCTCAGAGGAGGGAGAGAAAGATGGGACTGTTCAACACTCTCCCACACTGGCAAAATTTCATCAGCTTGAGAGGACTTGCTGTGCTCTGAGTCACAGCAGATGGGCAATGCTGTCAAGTGCAAATAGAGGTGTGTAGCAGCCACTCTTGGTGGTAAAACCAACCAAAGATTCCCTTCCTTGGTTCAACATCTATTGTTTTTGTAGCTGGTGTCAAGCGTAGGTAGCTATCTTCATAGATTGGTTATCCCCACACAAACCTTTCTGCTCAAGATGAAAATGTTGTCATTGCTCCTTTGTTATCTACAGTTCCAAAGTGAAGGCTGATTCATCGAAGCTCCAGAGGATGTCAAAAAGTTTACTTTGAGTCATTTCATTATGTGGCTTTTTGATAACATTTTTGACATGATTGGAAAATGAAGTAGGCACAGTGAATAAGGCAAAACCTCAACTGAGGTGCTCCTTTAAGCTCTGAGAGGCACAGAAATGCTGTCATTTCTGGTTTAGTTGCATTATTTTGTAACCAGTGGAGGAATCTTAGCCTCAGGTTGCTTAGTTCACATCATATTCCGTGACATTTGAGGAAAGTGTAGGGAAGATTTCCATTTCAGTGTTTTGACATATCGGTGAATAATGGCATCTGACACCTCAAACTGGCAGCTGTCAGTGTTGTGCTCCAGTATTTAACTCATAATTGTTAGCTGCAATGCATTTGATAGATAAACATGCCGAACAGACCACAGAAACATATATTTTTTATGACAACATCAGGATAAGAATGCCCATTTATTTATATTTCAAAGCTAAATCATTAAGTCCAAACTGAGGCTATTCCTGAGACAACATGACGGGCTTCCTTCATCTCATAGGTTTGACAGTGACCTGAGGTCAACAGAGACTGGACAAAAAAAAACTTCTCAGCAAAGTGTCTAATAAAACTGACAGATCCATCATTCACTCCCAGGATTTGCTATTATTTAATGACACATCCATCTTGGAGCTAACTATAAATGATAGCTTTCTGTTGTCATCTTATGGGCTGAGATAGACGATGGCCCGCTGTAGAAACTTCTTTTCTTGCACAGATTAACCAGCTGGAATTCCATGTACCACTAAAACACCAACATTCTGTTTTTCGCTTTTGATTGTTGTCATTATATTAATTTCTCTTTGACAGACTGAGAGGCCCTCCGGACTGCCCCCTGCATTGACCCACTTCATCTGGATTTAAAGCCCAAACACTGTCTGGACGGATTGATACTGATTTAGTTTACTTTCTCTTTTTTTAAGTGTTTTTTAAGTGTTCCAAGTCAAATTGTAAGCAAATTTAAATCCATGCTATGCTGTGCTCAGGAGCATCAGCTACAGTCTCAGAAAGGTAAAGTCAGACAGCCTACAGGGAAAACTGAAGGGACCAATCCTGAGCACTTACAAGGTGGGGATCACAGCTATTTTACATGTGCTGGCACTTACAATAAAACGTTATCAGAAAAATGTCATATGTGGAGTGAGACTGGTTGAAGGCTCAAAATAAGAACTGGAAATATTGAAGTCAGAGACTCAGGCGAGGCTGATGATCTATTATGTAATGCTTTGTGTGATTAAACTGGACGGTGATGCTGATATGTTTATCTGGTAAACCTTTTTCTACCCATTTCCTTATTCTTTCTTTCAATTGTTGCATTTTTTGGACATTAAAGGGTGGAAGTGTAGATTGGACAAAAAAGAAAATGGAGTAAACAAAAATAATGACAAATGTTGAACATATTTAACTAGCAATGAGATTAGATAATATTAAATGTGGTGCCAAATAAATTGGGAGAAAATCAGGGGCAGTTTACCCACTGCTTTTGATAGAAGAAAAAAAAACAGACTCACTCTAAATTTAGATTTCGCCTTAGGTTGCCTTAGATTGCCCACTCTGGTAAAGTGACAAATCAAATGCTGGCAGAATTTCTCATTTTTAAGCTGTCTGAATTAAAGACCTTTAATAACCATCCTCTGACTTTTTGGATATGTGTGATGATGTAAACAGGCTGTAATCGCAGCCCATCCAGCCCAGCTGTAGATAGCTTTCGAATCAGTTTGGCATTCCTGTGCACGGCGGCGTGGGTTTGTTGCTAGAGGACGGGGTATCATGCATGTATCCCTCTGAAACCGGCAGTAAAACTCATTCACTCATTTTGTTTTCTCGACCGTGTAGGACCACATTAACAGAAAAACACCAGAAGCTGCGCCTTCTGTTGTGGCCATAATGACCAGCGTGCAGAGGAATCTTCATTCTGCCAGTGTACACACATCAAAAGGACAGAAAAAAGTTGAGCAAAGACGTTTTATTGAGGTAAATTTTCAACTCTGGACACTGGATACACTAAAACATGTACTGTACATTTCCAAATATTAAAAGTGTGATGCAACAGAAACGAAGTGCAACAGTGTGTTCACATGGGTCCAGTTTTGCTGCAACAAGGAAGCCTCAAAAGTGAAGTATTGAGTTATACGACAGCTGTTGACATGGAGACACTCCAACACAAACGACGACTTACGCGAGTGACACACACCAAAAAAAAAGTGCTACTCTGGTTTTTCCAAGAAGAGATGCTTATTTGTTACAACTTCTACAGGCTGTTACTTAAAATGCTAAATCCGTTCTCTGAAAGAGGGCAAATCAGTCCAATCATTTCACAATTTCTCACTCTCAACTCTCATCTCTCAACTCATTTACCCGGCCTTCAGTGTGCAAAATGCTTGCTGCTCCTCTCTGGGACAAAGCATTCTCTAAAAGAATCAACTTCAATAAATGCATAATAAATAAGTAGATGTCTAAGCTATCCAAAGTGTACCGGCGTACAGGAAAAAAAAGATGTTTTACCTTGATGTCGGAGCTGAGCAGTCACATCAATAACAGGAGGACAACAGAGGCCAAATGGGGAGTGGAAGATGGCAGGCTGACATTTGATCAATGATGACTTGTGCACCCATGGGTGCAACACTACCTGAATGCGCGCTGATCCATAACGGTTCAACTCTCGTGTCATTTCTCCCACTGTCCCCCCCCCCCACCCCCTGCCCCTCTTCCTTTGCTTTCTTGCATGTTCCAAGCTATCTGTGAAACTTAGACTCCTTGTTATGGCTGAAAGGATCCCCTCTGTACTGTTGCTTTTCAGCCAGACTGGCTGCAGTTTTGCTTCCCGCTGTTTTGAGCTCCAGTGAGCAGGTTAGAATGCCGGGCGGCGCTGGCAACACCTGCTGCGGCTCTTAAGCGACTCTCTGCAGACGGCAGCCTCTTTGTGCACGGTGAGCTCCTTCATGTGCAGACAAGAGAGGCAGCTTCTGCCGCTTTGTACCTTTCGCTTTTGTTGACACTCCTTCCGTGCTCGGCGCTCCCGACAACTTCGAAAAACAGCAGTCTTTCCATTAAAGAGAGCCCAAAGCGTCCCCCCCCCCCCCCCCCTGAGTCCTTTTAGTTCTTCCACACCATTTGTGCTTGGAACACCGACATGACAAGAGGAACTTCTGTAGTCATTAAGAGACATGATACACAGAAAATTGTTTAGTGCTATTATCTAAAAAGAGGTGAAATTCTTGGTGATTTAGGCTTTCATCCCAAAAAATGGAGTGTTTCTGAAAACATTTTGTAGCATATTCAGATTGTTATTGAACATCGAATGTCCTCCGGCACAAATCTTCAGAGCCCCAAATCTTTTTTGGAAATGGATACAACAAAGATCAAGGTTTGCGTGCGTTCCGCTCGACAATCTCTGCGGCCTCTCGCAGGAGCAGGATAGCTTTCCGGGGATGGCAGTGGTTGTTCTTGGCAAGTCTTTTGTAGCGTGGCAGTACATGATGCTTTATCAGTCCCCAGGGTAAAAAAAAAAAAACTCTCACGGACACAAGAGAAAGGACACAAGCATGATGTTCCCATGACAGGATTTCCTCTTCCCCAACGCTTGGAGAAATATTTTTGATGAAGAAAAGCTAAATCTGATCCAAATTTTTGAAAATATTTCTACTTGTGCATCCTTTAACTAAACATTGACCGAACCGAGTGTGAGAAGTCGAATCTCTAGCAACATTCTACAGCTGAGGAGCAGCTCCTTTCTAACTCAAAACCCGTACAGTCGACCGGTTCAAGCGGACACCAAACGGTTATTGTAGGAAATGGTTCCACATCTTTGCGGGAGAGTGTATTTTCTGTTTTAGCTGCAGAGGCTTTGGGTGATTTGTTTTCCGGAGGGAGGATGAGGGTTGGGGCTGACAGTTCGAACAGGGGCAGAGTCCCTTCACAGAGAGGAAGCGAGACAGGACGATGGTTCAGATCTCCTCTATGGAGTCAGCTGGGACCAGCCCCCTCTTCTTCCCACTGCTCAGCTTTAGAAACTCCTCGCCATCCTCTCGCTTCCCGACACAAATCTAAAAAAGAGGACGCAGACAGAGGTATGAGTAAGAGCACAGGCTCATGGTATAGCCAGTTTTACCTGCAGTCAGAATGTATTCTTGCAGCAAGATCTTGGATAACATCAGCAACCTGATGCTCTGAATTGTTACAGAGAACCATCTGTGGTATTGGAACATGTTCAGAGAAGAACAAGCACTTTCGAAAATATTTGGCTGCTGATTAGAAGAGCCATCTGTCTTCATAATCTACTCATCGGGTCAGTCAAGTGGCTGGTGGTGGTGGTGGGGGGGACGCTGAACCAAAGTGGTTTTAGCATTTGCACAAAAACAAAACACCCACTGCGGTTCCATCAATGACAAGATACTCTCAACAGTGGAACAATGGAACAGCAAGAGCTTTAATGGAAGCCCAACGTCACCGGTTATTATTCGCAGAGGCCACTGCTCCGTGCGATAAAAGGAAAAAGGAATTTCTCAACTTTTATTCAGAATCCTTTTAAATGCTTAAAGTTATAACCCCCTCGGGTTCAATTATCAAACTGTGTGATTAAGAGGATGAGAGCCAAAAGGTCTCGGCTCCGGCTGAAGCCCGCCAGGCTCTGGCTGTGGCTAATTCCCTCAGTCTCCACGTCATGATCCGGTTTACGGGCGAGGCCATAACGGTAACATGATTGGGAGGTTGAATTTGTTGTTCTTTCCTCAGGTTTGAAGGTTACTTTGGGAGGATTTATGCCTCTGAGTATAGAAGTGTGCTGCATGACTAATCGGCTGCCTGTTTGTGAGTTTTCAGGTGGCTTCAAACCGAGTAGAAAATGGACAATTAGGAGTTACTGGGTAATTGGAATAAGGGGCAGTACTGCAGGATAAATGTTAGGATCAACATTTCTGTGCCCTGTGGTGTGTATTTGAGCGGCCAGATGCTGATGGATGCAAGTCTTTAATTTATACTTTATTTGCTTTTATTGCCATATTACAACATTTCACATCATCTGTTTTGTTTGATGCACTGGGACTGTTGCTAATCTTTTACAATTTCTTCTATTTCTACACTGTTTTGGAAGACATTTACTCTTTTATACTCCACCGTATCTCTATAAAGCAGTTTGCATTGCACTTGAGCCTGAAAAGTATGATATAAAAAAATGATGATAGTGGGTTTAAGCGATCCTGTAACATAAGTAGTGGGAAAAAAAAGCTTTGAAGTTGATATTTGTTGACTTTTGGAGCAGCTTCCTGGTCTTTAAATACATTTTTAAATTGTCTGTTTGAAAGTCTGTGAAATCTCGCAGCGGCACGCCGTATTTACAGCACTACTGTATAGAAACGGTCCTTTGATCTGTCTATTGAAAAGAAGCACTGCCACTTCTTAAGCTCTTTGTCCCAGATTTGCCTTCTGCTTTTTGATCTCCCCCACAAAGCGGTATTATAGCCACTTATAAATGGTGACATGACCTTTGAAAGACGTAGCTATACGTACGCTGAGGTAAATCAAACCAAATCGAATGCAAAATAAGGCTAATGTGTCTTGGAGCAGAGGGTACCTGGGATTCCCTGACAGCCATGTGTCCTCTCTCCCTGTTGCCGGGGGCACCCTGCACCACACGCCACACCCGCTCCCCCGGCCGGACCCTTTGCACAAAATTGGCAGGGAAAAAGCCAACTCTGTCGCCACTTTTACCCTAAAAAGAGCACAAGAGCACAGGCAGTCAATATTTGAAGCTGTCACGACAACAAAAACGGCTCGATCTCGACCTCGAAGGCTGTTTTCTTTGCAGTTCCAGGATACTGATGTGTTGTCCCTTCCAGAATTACTTTTCAGTGAAGTCTGCCTGTAGCAAATGCCAATGATTACTCCCTCTCTTTCCGATTTATAAAGCGCAGTGAGGACGGACATTTTTTGATAGCTGTCATCATTTGTTCAGTTATTTTGTAGGAGAATCAAAAGGGGACTTTTCAATCACAGTCCTGTCCGGTGCAGTGATGAAGCATTAAAGCTGCAGTTTCCTTCTCCGTTTGTTCAGGCCAAATCAACAGATTATGCCCACATTTACTGATGAAAACTGATTATGTTTTGGAGGCTCATTTTAATCAGCGGCCTTTTACTGTTTAGCACCATCTGCCTTAGGTGTTGACGTGTTTATTGAAGTGATTCACCGACTATACATTAGTAATGAAGAGATGAATCACAAATTATAAATAATTTACAGGTTCCTCAGCATGAAAGTGATGTTGGATGGGGTTTAATAACTGCTGTTTCACTCAAGGCCACACACGTTGTAGCAAATGGAAGGTCTGTGGATATTAGATACACAGACTCTGCACATTATCATGTCTGGATGCATCTTGCTTTTTGTCTGGAGATGAAACATGCGCAGAGGCACAATCAGGCATGGACTTTTATTTCCAGTGGGGCAAAGAGAAGCTCATTACTGACTCAATAAACACCTTTTTTGAGGTTGAAACACCAGTCACGTTCATTATGTTAAACTCTTGTGGTAATTTTCTGAGGAAATTATGTTCTATTTCTGTGTGCTGCTTGCCTGCATGTTAGTGAAAAATGGAGCAGGTGTTAGACACTAAAAGCTTGATCTAAAGACTTGAATTAGCACATTTGTGCAAAAAAGAAAGAAAAAAGAGCACGCACCTTTGCGGACACACAAAAAAACCAAACAGTAACACACACACACACACACAAGCAGATGCTTGCAAACGATCCATTGCCCACCTTCCACCATTCTTCATTAGAGTCATCTGTGACCTGCACTCGATCACCAGGACTGAGGAGATAAAACAACAGAGGAGATTTTTTTTAAAAGGATGCATGAATGGGGGCGATACATTATTTGAATAGAGAAGAAAAAGGCACAAGATGATGGGGAGATGTGGCAGCATGAGAACAGGGAAGGGGGAAAAAAACAAGAACTGAGTGCAAGGACAAAAGATAACATTATCTAATGGCTACAAAACGGCATAGTACCCATGGTTACAAAGCTGCAGTAGTTAAAATGAGTCTTTGTGTCCCTCTCCGGGGGGTGACAGAGAAGCTGACACCAAAGCCACGAGGTCTGCACAAACTCACCAGCAGCGGATTTAATCAAACTCAACCTGGTCTGCATTCTAGCTTTTGCTGAAACTCTTCTCCGCACCCACACACACATACACGGTGCCCACTGTCCTAGATAGGCAGGAAGATGTGCTGTCCTAATTGCACGTCTTTACGTCAAGTCTCCTGGGCGTCAGCGCTCACTCCTGCCCCACATGAGCCCACGGCTCACAAACACCAAAACAGCTCAGGTAACTGTGCTCAAAACGGTAATGTGGGGCTCGGTTGTGCAATCCATCTTGTGGGTCGTACTCTGACTATAAGAAACTCTTCTATGCGATTCTCCATGCAACTTTTCAATATGTTTTGAACAGAGGGATTAACCTACTTTAAGCAATGTCGGAGAGAACAGCAGCTTCTTTTGATGTCAGAAAAATGTTTTATGATCCTCCGAAGTTGGATGGTGAAAATAGCTTTACAACTTGTACTTTATGCTGTTCTCATCATAACACAGGTATAACTCTTATATTATGTATAGTACACCTCATCTATACTGTGTAGGACTGTTTCCTGTCTCTATTGACTGACTATCAGCCATTGTGAAAACACACAAATGTTCAAAGTCTAGTAGACATTAAAAAAAACTATAGAACAGGAAAAAAACAAAAGTTCAGAACCTGGCAAAATGAAAGAACACATGTTGGTAAGGTTCTCCAACAACACTGGACAAGCCATCTTTATGCATGGCCATTAAACACAGCAGCTTCTAATTATAGCAGGAGAAAAACTAAAAGCAGGCCCGGCACAATGAAGTACACTCAGCCATTTTCAATGAGGCTGAATTTTAATTGCGCCTCTTGTTATGAGAAATGCAATATCAGTGAATTCTCCTGCGCTTGTTTGAAATTGAAGTATTTATCGCTCCTGGAATCAGACTTGCACAGGAAATCTGTTACTTCTTTATAAATCAGAATTTAAACGCATGTGGGAGAGTAGGTATTGATTCTTTTCTGGCCCCAGGTGTTTCCAGTTCTTTTGCGTGATAACGCTACAGGACTGACGTCTTTCCCATTCCGCTAGAGTTGCTCTCAGGGTTAGGTAGCCCACACCTTTATCTGCTGTGGACCGATGCTGCTCCTCCTCAGTCATTCTTTAGACTAAGACACTCTAAAAGTCTCACTTTGTTAGAGTCGTCCTAAACATTTTCTTACCAAACGCAGCTTCGCTCAAACTCAGAAACTACTGTCAAAACCTTGTCGAAGGTTTAAAATGTTATGCTTCCATCTCTTCTTTTCTGTCGTTCAGACCTGAGAGAGGCACGTTGTCCTCTCATTAGTTTGCGTACGGTACATATTGTGCGGTCCCAAACGCAGAGCCACAGCGCAGATGGCTGCTAACAATCCCACCGCTCTGCCATTGTGAAGCATGTCCTCCATCCATCCATACACCCAAAATAAGACACCCACTGACACATGTAGTGCCCTCAATCCTTCATCTTATGAGCTTCCACTTTGATATTTTTACGCTCTCTTTCTCCTCTTCACTTTCACTGTATATAGACCAATTTTATGCCGTTTGCCTCCATACTGGTACTCCCTTTCATCCCTCGCTTGTCTTTTCCCTCTCCCCTGGTGGGAACAGCTTAGTCACCAGCTCTGCATGGGGACAGTGATGGGATATGCGTTTATAATTAGTCATCCTTAAGGGCTCCCTGTAACTGTCCTCTGCAGATGGCAGGGACATTTTCATCCTGCAGGAACAACTGCCAGGGCAAATCACAGGAGGGGCTAAACTCAGACAGAGGCAAAACGCGCTTCCCCACACACGCAGTGGAAAATAAGCTCATTGTGCGCTGGATTTTTAAATGTAAAAAAAAAAGAAAAAGTTTCTGTTTTGTCAACTGCTTTGGCTTTTACTCACTGGAGTTCCAGGTCATTCAGTTCTTGAGGCATAAACCTGTAGAGCGCTACATAGGTGTGGATAGAGTGGACCTCGATGCGCTTGGGCACCTGGACATAAGAAGGGGGAGACAGAAATGGACGCTCCAGGAGCAAAACAATAATTGGGGACTTTCTCTACAGGTGGACTTAGCAGAGCTTTTACCTTGACGCCACTTTCCTCTGCAGGAATCTGAGCTTGCTCGCTGGTTTCTTCCGCTTCCTTCTCCGTCTCGGCCTCGGGGACGGGAATGTCTGTAGGCAGTAAAAAGAGAATATCTAAAGAAGAGGCTGGAGGGGAAAAAGCCCCTGATGCCCATGCAGACAGTTTTTTCTTCCTTCGTTTTTTTTCCCCCGAGTGAACACATTAAATCTCTTGCACACAGACACGCACAGGTAAACATAGCACAGGGAGACACACACAAATGCATACAGCACATGTCCACATACAGGGAGGCATGGTGTTTACCCCCTGTCTCCTGAGTTATCTCCTCCTCCATGCTGCTCTGTCTCTGCTGCCTCTCCTCACCTCCCTCTCCCTCAAAGAAGGAAACAGAGAGGAAACAATACAATGTTAGCACAGACTGTGGAAAGGGAAACAGTTCCATTTCTTCATTTAGCGGCTCTGCCCGGTCTGACGCTGTTGCAGAATGAGGACGCCTTTCCAGATTGACATTTATTCATCTTTGATTTGTTTCACTCACACTGGCAGGTTTAGGATTTGCATGAAACATAGAGCTTATACTAAGAACATTTTCCATTCATCCTGATTAGCAACATTGGAAAATATTTCAGGGAAATTTGTGACTTGTATCCCCACAGATTTGCACTGTTTCTGTGATGGAATAGAAATGGAAATTTCCACACTGCAAGTATTAAAGAAAGATTTAAGATTTCCCATGTGACTCCCCCAGGTACTGAGCGACTGTTTCTGGACATAAAGAACTTTGGAACTGTGAAACAGAACCATCCGGCATGGCCTATCCTGGAGCTAATCTCCTCCTCACGTTTCCTGTACATAAACGAGTGAACGGAAACATGAGGTGAACACATTTCTGTCAAAATGGCCAAAAATTGATTGGAATCTGAATGATTGTGATTCTTCAAAATAGCCGTACTCTGAAATACTCTGTAGTGCCGCAAACTGCTGACGGGGGCCATCGCGGTAAGTAGGTGCGCGAGTGGATTTGTATTTTTAGGACTTACTGCAAGCCTGAGACAAGCATTCATCTGTCCTCTACCTAAATCCACGGGGTACTGATGTCTTACCAAGCTCCGCGTTGGTGATTCTGACAAACTGCCAAAACTGGAGCGGGTCATCTGCGCCAAGGACGTCCCGTAGCGCAGAGCGGCATACACGGGATCCACACGCATCCTCACGGCCTCTGAAACCAGACACACACACACACACCCCTGCATATATGCATTTGTTGCAACGCCTCAGAAAAACATGACAAATAGGCAGAGACTACTTGTACATGGTAGCTGCTGTGGAGGAACCAGTCTAAATATAACCATGGGGAAGAAGTCAGTCCTGGACCAAAGCGACCCACTTAAAATCTTAAAGGGTGCAGCAGCCAAAGTTTAAGAAGACATCAAGGCATCAAATGAAAGTTCACACTTGAGATGTCCATCGGTTTAGTGGCTGTGATGCGTTTGAAAGCACAGCTGAGTAAAAAAAAAATGAGTGATGACATGTAACATATGGTAATCTTCTTAAAGTCCCCACTGCTGCATTTCATGGAGATGGCAGAGCTCAGAGCTGTTGCAGCATTTCTTCAGCCAGGAATTGGATTTTCTGCCCCGCTTTCCATCCACTCCGACCCAAGCCAAACTGAGGAATGAGGGCTTTTTCTGTGGGGCCAGATGTGCTATGTCTGTGCATGATGGAGGCGCGTGGAATTGCAGCTTCATTTTGAAGCCGGTGCCTCTGTTATCTCTTATCTAAAAAGAAAAAAAAACTCACGGGAACCTTGTGAACTAAAATTCTGCAGCGAGACCGCCGTCAGGGGGATTTAAGTACAGTATTTAAAGGCTGATGAAGCTGAACTTCACAGGAGGTGCCTCCACAAAGAGGAATTAATCACAGAACGGTAAATAATAGCAAGCCATGCTTAGAGACTACACTCCTCTGCTGTATGCAAATAATTATCTTTAAGCTGTTGAAAGACCTTCAACGGGTGTTTTCCAGGGCTAAACAAGGTTCCTCTATTGGATAAGACTTCAGCATGAGATGTGTTTAGAAAGGTGTCAGACCTCTTTTCTTTCAGTAACTACTACCTGACCTGGTTAATCTAGGACTTTGATCCTGGTGATTGAGGTTTAACCCAAACCAAAGAATTACTGCAGAAGGGAATTGACAGCATACTAATGGGTCTGCAAGCAAATGTGTTATGAAATTACAATTCAATAGTAATATTTGTGCATTTGCGCCGTATTTATGCGTGATTACGAGAACACTCTGCGATGTGTGATTGTGCATTTGGCAGGTCGCAGTCCCCGCCAGAGCTGGCAGAGTCCCAGGCATCTTGGTACCGCGCTGGAGGTGATGATGGAGCTGCAGGTTAATCGTACACTGATGTATGAATAGAAGGAGGAAGTGTCAGCATGAGATGCTAACCCCTCAGTCAATGAGGTGCATTCAAAACGTTGGCGAGATGTACCCCCGCACGGGTGGTCTTCCTCAAGTCAAACAGGCCACATCCAAAAATGACAGAGGGGAGACAAAATCAGGTACCGTTAGGTCAGTGGATGCCAAACTGAAGCAAAACAGCTTTACTTAACAAGTATAAATCTCATTATGCGTTTCCAAAAACAGATTGTAGAATTTTTTTTAGGCAAGCGAAAATAAAAAGGGCTATGTTGTCGGAGGTACAGTATAGCTGGTGAGAAGGTATAGCCGTCATACAGAGGCAGAGCTTCAGTGTTTATGAAGTTTTTAAACATGCAAGCCGGAGCGCCTGATGATAAGTTAATACCCTCCACGGGCCTGAGGGTGCAAAGCGCAAATTCTAAACAGAGATAGAAAAAACATAAACATTACAGCTTATAAATATTTATTCACATACTTTCAGGGTGCAGAGCGTCCACCAGCCTCCAAGAGAAGCTGAATTTGCTCTTCCTCTTTATCTTTTTTCCACTTCATGCTCCTCGGTTGTCAGGTGAGAGAGGGAGGCAGCTCTGGTTTTGTTACAGTACACACAAGCACACAAAAATCTAAAAATAAACCGAAAGGCTAGACAAGAGCGACGTCACAAAACAAAAGCACGGGGACACAAACAAAGCTGTGCACTCAGCAGCACACACACACACACACACGCGCGCACGCACACACCGACTCTCACAAAGTGCTCACCTTGGCTGGGCTGAACTTCCTTGACGACAGCCAATTGGTCATTGACGAGCATCGGCGAGCTGAAGTTTCGCTTGAACGCTCCAGACTAATGGAGGAGAGCAGAAAGGAGAATGACTTCCTCAGCTCCCGTTACTTCCTGTTTATAGAGTCGCCCCGCAGGAAAATGGACCCGACCGTGTGGTGATTTTAGGACCTTAACGAGGCCGCGTGAAAATGATTGGATCAGGAACAGGTAATTTCAGAGCTTTGCACGTGCTCCGAGGACAGAGCTAGCTGGAGCCACCAGACCCAAACCGGATAAAACCACCTGCTATCTTTGCTCACGCCCGTTCATGAGAGTTTGAAGGCTCCCAGCGTTCCAGTTGAAACTGGTTCACATTTGCAGTTCAAACCGTCTCTTTTCATCGTGCCGAAGACAGAAACAACGGCCATTACCAACACCTCGGGTCCCTTTAAAAAACAAACCCAAGATTCTGGCTTGATGGCGTTCTACTTTCCCCCTGCCCCTCTTTGTTCTCGTACGTCTCCCTTTTTATGGCTGTGCACCGCTTTGAAACGACTCTGAACCGTCCTCATAGCGGTGCTCTCACAACACGGCGAGCCCCCCCCGCCGCATACTAATGTTTTCTGTCCTCCACCAGCAGACGAGCAAACAAAAGAAATCTTTGTACGAGCCCATATTCACTTTGATGTTGCTATCACAATTCACTGTAACAGGGGATTAGACAAATCCGTACATGTTCTCCCGAAAACTGTGGACGATGTGCTGGATTTGTTTGACAGGCTCCGCAGATGTCACAGTGATTACGACGTGTAGGGTTTTGATAGTCTCTTCATACGACAGAGTGCTGCAGCAACTTGTGTTTCTTTCTGTTTTAAAGCTTCTTTCTGTTTAAATGGGTTAGGCCCATCTCAGCGTTCATTGGGCGAGAGTAGGGTTACACCCTGCACAGGGGGCTACACAGGTATGTGACAGGAACAAAAAACGACTGCTTACTGAAGAGCTATTTCGTTCATCTTGTTCTTTTTTTTAAATAATAATCCCGATTTTTGCAACGTTAAGTATTCAGTTCATAACATAATGGAGATGATAAGGGCAGCATCGGGTTCTTTGCACAGATCCGCACCTTCCCGTGACATAGCTGCTGGGACAGCTCCGACGTGCACCACAGGTGAGCCGCCATCTTGCAGGTTTTACACCGCAGAGCTTGTTTGGAGTTTCCTGCCGAGAGGGGACAGAGATGAGAAAATAAGGACGCAGAACACAGAGATGGAAGGAGCCACGAAACGAGATAAAGCCCCAGCAGGTCTCAGAGGGGGGAAAGCGCAAAGAAAAACAAAGTGGCCTTCAGATCACAGAAGCAGGTTTCTGTCTGCTCCGGTAATCAAGCTCCATCCCGGTTTTTCTAAAGCCGCCAGCGCTGACGCTAACAGCTTCATAATCAACAGCTCATCTCCCACAAAAACCTGGAGAGATTGGAAACCAGCTGGAGATATTTCAATCATAATCGATTTGGCAGTGAGTCATTGAGCTTTCGTGTCTCTGATTTCAAGTACGGGAGAGATAAAACTCTCTTGAGAATCAAGATGTTTTCTCCTTATTTGTTTTGTAACAAGATAATCTCCTTTTATTATGTTTCTAACAATTTAGCCGCTGAGACACTTTCTATTCCGTACAACTAAAGATGAATGATTTCTGAATTTGCTGTGGATGGGAATAACATCAACAGGCACTTCTGCGGCGGGTGAAAAAAAAAAGAAAGAAACAAATTGGATGAGTGAAAAAGCAATTTTATCTTTAAAGATGAAAATGGATTTCGTCGCCATCAGCAGGAAGAGCCAGACTTTGTTTCGGGACTGCTGATGGCGAGGGGTCCGAGCAAAGTGATGCACGGCATAAATAAACGCGCTGCGGATGAAAAAAAAAAAAAACAGCGGAGACGCGCGCACACAGGGGAGCACGGGGGGGGGGACTGCAATCAGTCACACTGACAGGAAGTAGATTTAGCAGAAATACTCGTGGCGAGCAGTTCATAGAGGCAGCAAATTAGAGATAAAGAAGTCACACAGCTGCGCCGACGCTACAACAGCCATTCTAATTTGAAGCGAAGGCGTCTCAAACCATATTGAAATTGAATCAGGCTGTGAGGAGAGTAAATACTTTTCAACATATTGCTCGTGTCTGAAGCCGTCTGACTCTAAACAAGAATTTAAACACGCTAAATTGATTTCCTGTGGGGGGAGACGGCTATGAAGATGGAGACCGCCTTACCCACTATCATCTGCTTGCAGTGCTGGCAGTTGGTGGGCTTCCGAAAAACGTGGTCCTGGAAGCAGTGGGTGACGGGGGGCCGCGGCGGCTTGGCGGGGAGCGACGGGGAGAGGCTGAGGGAGGGGGAGTGGGAGGAGATGGACAGGTTGGGGCTCAGGGACGGGGAGACGGAGGGCGAGCGCTCGCCCAGCGGAGAGCCGGGCGGCAGCGGGGGGGACGGGGGCGGCGGGTCGGTGATGAAGTCCGGGGGCAGGCGGGCGTCACTGTAGGAGCGCTGGAAGAAGTTCTCCACGCTCTTGCTGCGCATCATGGTCTTGAAGGAGAGCGAGCGCTTTAGCCTCTGCAGCTGTCCACGGAAGGCACACAAAAAGCGTAAACACAAGATAAGCAAAAAGCAGGGACAAATGTTCAACGCACCCTCAGGACAGCGCTGGCAATATCCCGGCATCCATAAACACAACACTCTGCTCAGACCTGTGCACCGAGGGGGAAAGGGGTGACTCATGTAACACAATACCACCTCATAAGGAAACCGTAGAAAAACCTCTGCACTGGGCATATGCCTCTCAGTTTTAACGCGGCCCATGGTAAAACAAGATAAGCCTTTTCTCTTTGGACCACTTGTAGTCAAACACTGGGCCCACGCTGAGTGCAAATGGTGTTTCTTTGGCAGTCCTTACAGGGATGGGCTGTGATAAAATAAAACAAGACTATCATGCTCCAACAGCCTGCCTTAGTTATTAATACGGATTTTCTATCTTAACATGTCACACATTCAAGAATGAATCAGATAAATCTTTTCTTATGGAAGTCTCTCAGTTGGTTTCATATTCCGCATTTACCATATGAAAGCACAGTAGTGTTTAAAATACATCAGAAAATACAATCTGCTTCATTTCACCATTACTTTAGCGAAAACACTGTAATGATCACTGATCCCTGAAACTGGTCAGAACAGCATGAAATTAGGAAGGTATAATATATAATGCATCTGGAAACAATAAGAATAACAGAGCAAGTCTGACCAAAGTGCTAAGTGACCAAAATGATGCGAATAAAACAGGAAAAAACAAAACGGTAGCGGAAACACATTTTTGTCCTTTGTTTTTAAATGTCATTATCATGCTTGGTTTAAATGCCAAAGACTGAAGATGAGTTTTAAAGAGATTTTTGTAAATGCTGAATTTTGATGAGGTCCTAATGTTATTTCAAAATTTGGGTGCAGCAACAGCAAACACTCGATTTCCTGTGTGCTTTAATCTGCGCACGAGAAGCTAAGCTGTTTATACAGAAATACACTTTAAGATTTTTTAAACCTTAAAGAAATCCGATCATTAAGAAACTCAACCAGGTCAAGTGTGGTCTTGGGTGCACATGCAGATCTACTTTTTTGGCATTTTAGAAATGTAGAGACTGACAGATGCCCAAATAAAGGCTGATGTCCAGTTTGGATGAGACCGAGGCATCAACCCCTTTCTGTCTTGGCTTTTGACACCAGCTCGGACGAACGCACTGTTTACTTTTTCTCCTTCGGCTGTAAAGAACATTGCATCATAACAAGGTTCTAATAAACAGTTTAGATTTTCACAAAAATGCTGATTCTCCTGACAAGCAATCGCAGCAAATTAGACAACGCAGCAGTGATTTTTGGGTTAATTTCGCCCACCCTTGAACAGTTTTAGAAGAGGCTTATTTTTGCTGTAACCATGTCTGTCTCAATGGGGCTTTTTTCTCTTCTATGTTGTGTTTTGCACTTCAAGGAACCATACATAACAAAATGAAAAGAAAAATGCATGACATACATATGAGCTTGATGCAAAAAGGCCTGAGATCTGATGAAGCATGCTCAATTTTCCCAGTCGACAGTTTGACACGTTTCAACGTTTGCAATATGAAACCATAATTTGTCTTGAAAAGCCAAATCGGAAGACAATATGTATAAATGTCCCTCCCGTGACAGCGGCCTTGCACTAAATGGGTGGACAAATGCTTCCTTAATTTGCCTGTGGCTCTTTGTGCTGTGGAGGATTCTGGGCGGCCATTAGTCAGCCAGACGTGCTGCAGCGGCGCGTGAAGGCGTGGCCGCGTTGCAGGTGGAAAATGACCAAACTGGGACAGATAGGGAGACAGAACATCCGCGGGCCACAGACAACCCGAATGCACACGTCTGTGTGCCTGTCCGCGCTCGTTCTGCTCAGCGCCAAACATAATCACTTTACGGGGACGTGCTGTTTACGGCTCAGTATGTCTAGAAATAAGATATGAAGACAGTTTGTCTATTTCACTGTACAGATGCGAGCGTAGGGGGTGGGACAAATACAGGCAGAGCCAGAGCAACTAAAAGAGTGTGACTGCATCTGTACACGTTTCCTGCAAAACTCTGCTCGAGAAATTTGCTTTTATGAAGTCATAGTGATGAATACTGGGTATGTCATCAATTGTCTCTGAACCATCGTCTGACACACGAACACTCCTTTGGAAAAATATTCAGGATTCCTCGGTCAAAGTAAAATACATAAAAAGTACTGATCCACTTAACGCACAGGTTTTCTCCTCTGTCCAACAGGTGACACATATGTGGAAGTATGTGTTTTTATTACACTGTATTTTTTATATATTTATACCCCTCTACTGTATTAGTGCTATTCTGGGCCTTCATAGAGATGTATGAGATTGGGTTAGGGCTTCTTACCTGATTAAAGGCTTTGGGTACATCAGAGGTATATCAGAGCTACAGCAAAGAGCCAATCAACGGTCTATAGAGGAAGTTATGTCAGTGGATCCCTAATGAGGGGTTCCATTTTTTTTACCCTCTAATGAGACACCTTAGCTAAGCGCAACACCCAAAATCCCACTCTTATGACTCATCAATAAGGCTTTAAGGTCAAATATTAATGTGTGAGCAGGTATTTCAGCGGTCCAAACAGTGGCGACAGTTTCATTTGATGTTTTATTTTCAGCATGACTTAAGCAAAGCTCCATCAGTCAGAGAATAACATAACAGCTCCTGCAACACCACAGGTCTCAATAACGGCTAACACAATCATCCGTCATGAACCCGCTGAGACAAAACTAGCGCCACCTCACACGCGATGGAGAGATCAGCGCACTCAGGTGAGCATCATCTCGCATCAGTTTCCAGGACAGGTGGGATGCTGATATGGGAGATGAGTCAGGGTCAGAGACTGGAAAAGTGGTCTTTGTGACTGTCTATAGGACATTTAACATGATTCAATAATAATATCTGTCTAGAGGTCTGATACTGATTAATAAAATTATGTCAATCCTCTGATTTTAAAATAGTGTTGCATAGAATAGAACTAAAAATGTAATTCAGTTATTTTCAGATTTCATAAAGAAACATTTCTTATATTTCAAACCAGAAAGAATTATCAAGAGAAATTGGATAGTTTAGTATTCTTTAACAATTTTAGCTCATTTTGTATTTGATGGCTCCCCTTTTAATGACATTATGTACAACTGCTGTACCTTTTATTATCTTCAGTAGGAGAATTTTTGTCCATGGAGCAGTTATTGACATTGTTGACCTGTGACCAGTTCTTCTAATTACATCCTTCAGCTGCTTCTTTTTTGTATCGCTTACGTCTTTTGTGTTTTGTTATCCCTACATCGATCTTTTTGTTAAGTGCTTTCTTGTCAAAGAAATTCTAAATACAGCCAATATATTTTTCCATCGACAGCATCAAGTTCACAGCTGTAGGGAACAATTTGACAGGCGTCTCAGCAGACCCGTAAAAGCCGACAATTTTCCCGTCTTCGATCCACAGACAATATTCCTGCTATTTGCCATGTCCAAAAACAGCTCCACGTACAGCTGGAACTGAACATAGGTCAATTATTAGTCTTTTATCTTCACTCATAAATGTGCCTCTCTGCCTCAGTTAAAATTTAATGAGGCCACACTGAGATATTTATGGGTTGCCCGGTTGTGTCCAGAGGTTGAGACAGAAGAACAAAGCCCTGGTCCCACTGGGAATGTGGTGATAAATACAGCCTGTGTCCACAGTCTGCTTTTTTTCTGTGACTCACCTGGTGCAGAACACTTGCAGGGAAGCTGGGATCCCAGCTGAGTCTGTCTTGTGCAGCTACAAAGTTTAGAATATACGCTATGAAATGTTCTTGCAGTCTTAATGTTAAGGCCTGAATCTCTATTTTTTTCCATTTTTTAGAACCATAGGCAGCTTTGTGACCTAAAGAAGTGATTAGTCATTTGTTTATCTTGTTAAAATTGATTTTCTTTTCACTTCTGGACTGTGTTTCCTTTGTGTTGTCGGCAGCAGAAGAAATAAGGTGAAAAACAACCATTGCAATGGATTTACACATTTTTTACAGAGAGTGCTTTTGTGACATATTTTGACCTTGTTCTCGGTTTGGGTATTTCTTCATTCTAAGAAGGATAAGCCCTGCATTTGTTCTGCAAAAGGCACAAGCCTACATCAAAAGCATATGTGGTGTCATGTGCACAAGACAATTCTTCTTTGCAGTGTTTCTTGGGTAACAAAATGTTCTTATTTTTTAAAAACAAACTCCAGCTAAAACCGCAAAGATTTTCACAAATGATCTAATATGTTTGAGAAGTTGAGAAGATAATAGAGTCGTCATAAAGAGGGTAGGTAGACCAGGTCCTCAAATGTTGGTGCTGAATAGAAGACGAGAATCACTTCATCACAGGCTGCCTCCAGTGTCCTGCACCTGTCACATCCGCCTGGATGAATGCAATCAATCACAGGCTTATTCACACAGAAGCACGTGCTCTCTATCTCCGTCTCAGAGATCATTTAATGCCCGAGAAACTCCTGCAAAATGTGGGTCTTTTCGGCTCTTGTGGCTTGGAGCCCAGCATTTCAGCCACTGACACCTTTCCTCGTAGTGTCACATCAATAAACATCACAGCGGTGAAGGTGTTACATTAATAAATGAAGACCTTGGCCCTCTTCAGCTGCAGTGTGGGCTCTTTGCGAGTCATTTTAACCAAAGTCACGGCGCTTTTGAAAATGTCATTTCAGTGGGTATTTTCACTCAAGTCTGTGTAATCGATTGACCATTTCACCCTAACGTTTCCGAGGTTTATTCATGCTGCTGGAAGCTGGCATGCTTTACCCACAACTAAAGGATATGGCACCGCAGCCCTCTTGGACACGTTGGTATCCCATTACTCAAATCAATGTCACAGCCCCTTTATCTGAAGAGAAAGTTAACTGAAGGTTAATAAGATGTGGAGTGAACTTAACAGAGTGTGTGCTTTCAAAGAGCTGCGTGATCCAGAGATAAACTCTGTAGATCAAACGTCACCAGAAGTCATCTGTGGGCTCAAGGTTGATCATTAGGAACACTTCAGCTTTCACTATGCCGAGCGACTGCAAACTATGTGTGAGCAGGAGCGCATGTGAAATGTGTTTCAATTTTATCTAGCAGTGAGTGAGATGCTCGTGGTAACTTTTCTCCCCCCCCCAAGTGAAAATGGATTAAGAGAGACTTTCACAGGCTCTGTGGATTCCCTGAGTTATCAGGGCACTGCAGGTGTTCATGCCCCCTGAGCATACGAAATGAGGTGACATCTGTAGTTGGACAGCTATTGGAGGGATTGTTATGAAATGGAAGGCCACTTTTGTGCCTCTAACAGGAGGCATTTAAAAATTTGTGGTAAAGCTGTGCATTTCTGCCTCGCACCATTACTGGATTAAAATACACTCCGTTTGGTTCGACTCCCTAAATCTTAATTATGATGCTTAACATCAATTGTACCTAAAAAAAAAACATTAAAAGATTGTTCTGAAAATACTTTGTTGTGGTCTTTACTTGAACATTGTGAGCAAGAAAAACATTACCTGCATGATTGTTTAGTTTTAAGAGGTTAAATACACTATATTGCCAAAAGTATTTGCTCACCCATCCAAATTATCGGAATCAGGTGTTCCAATCACTTCCATGGCCACAGGTGTATAAATTCAAGCACCTAGGCATGCAGACTGTTTTTACAAACATTTGTAAAAGAATGGGTCGCTCTCAGGAGCTCAGTGAATTCCAGCGTGGAACTGTGATAGGATGCCACCTGTGCAACAAATCCAGTCGTGAAATTTCCTCGCTCCTAAATATTCCACAGTCAACTGTCAGCTGTATTATAAGAAAATGGAAGTGTTTGGGAACGACAGCAACTCAGCCACGAAGTGGTAGGCCACGTAAACTGACGGAGCGGGGTCAGCGGATGCTGACGCGCATAGTGCGAAGAGGTCGCCAACTTTCTGCAGAGTCAATCACTACAGACCTCCAAACTTCATGTGGCCTTCAGATTAGCTCAAGAACAGTGCGCAGAGAGCTTCATGGAATGGGTTTCCATGGTCGAGCAGCTGCATCCAAGCCATACATCACCAAGTGCAATGCAAAGCGTCGGATGCGGTGGTGTAAAGCACGCCGCCACTGGACTCTAGAGCAGTGGAGACGCGTTCTCTGGAGTGACGAATCGCGCTTCTCCATCTGGCAATCTGATGGACGGGTCTGGGTTTGGCGGTTGCCAGGAGAACGGTACTTGTCTGACTGCATTGTGCCAAGTGTAAAGTTTGGTGGAGGGGGGATTATGGTGTGGGGTTGTTTTTCAGGAGCTGGGCTTGGCCCCTTAGTTCCAGTGAAAGGAACTCTGAATGCTTCAGCATACCAAGACATTTTGGACTATTCCATGCTCCCAACTTTGTGGGAACAGTTTGGAGCTGGCCCCTTCCTCTTCCAACATGACTGTGCACCAGTGCACAAAGCAAGGTCCATAAAGACATGGATGACAGAGTCTGGTGTGGATGAACTTGACTGGCCTGCACAGAGTCCTGACCTCAACCCGATAGAACACCTTTGGGATGAATTAGAGCGGAGACTGAGAGCCAGGCCTTCTCGTCCAACATCAGTGTGCGACCTCACAAATGCGCTTCTGGAAGAATGGTCAAAAATTCCCATAAACACACTCCTAAACCTTGTGGACAGCCTTCCCAGAAGAGTTGAAGCTGTTCTAGCTGCAAAGGGTGGACCGACGTCATATTGAACCCTATGGATTAGGAACGGGATGTCACTTAAGCTCATATGTGAGTCAAGGCAGGTGAGCAAATACTTTTGGCAATATAGTGTAGGTCTGCATCCAGAGGAAGAAGGCAAGCAGAAAGTGTATTTCCCATCTGGACCAGAGTGTTTTTTTAAACCATTTACACATAAAATACATTTCCACTTACTTATTAATTGGATATGAAAAACATCATGATTTCTCATATAAAGTAATGTTGTCTCAGTAAATTTTGAATAGAGAAGAAATACCAGTCTTTGCATCTATGCTGAAGGATATAAGCTACACATTCTCCTCTTAACATCCATTATTGATGTCACCATCATTTATTTCTTTTACTCATATATCACAGTTATGCCTTTTGCAGATGGGGTGGAATCAGCTATAAAAAAGGCCAATTTAGTGTCAAATTATAGCCTTATAATGAACTGTTATTACATAAATCTAATCATCCAGCTTTAAGGCCTGGAACCTTAAAGTTTCTTATTTGAAGACAGCTTGTTTGTTTAAAAAAAAGGAACATATGTGTTTATCTATATGTCCAAACATAGTACTTGATTATTCTTCATTTATCATGTTTAATGCGGCATTCAGCTGATGTATTTGTCCATATCTGAGAATAAGAATCAGATTTATTGGCCAAATATGTGTGTGCATACAGGGACTTTGACTCTGGTCACTTTGCTACACCTAGACAGGTATATTTTAAAGCATGGCCTCTTTTGTCTGACTCTAAAACATTGTTTAGTCTGAAACGACACCAAAGGAGATCCTTAATGAAAAAATTAGACTCGGCTGCAAACTGCTCAAATTAGGGAAATACGTCATTTGAATTTGTCGCTTCTAGTCATGTCTTATTGTTGAGCTAGCCGTGTTCAGACTGAGATGAGAAGAAGAATCATAAATAGATGCAGATTGATCTTTTCTGCTGTGCCACGGTGGGGAATTTGGCAAATTTACTTAGAAAAATGATTGTAATGCTGGTCGGTTTTTGTTTTCTGAGCTCACCAACTGTAACTGTGCGTTAACATAGAGGAAAAAGAGCTTTACTTATGCTTTCCTCTCACATGAAAAGCAGCACAGAGAGATCAAACAGCTCTGAATATAGATTGACACCAGTGGCTGCACCACTCGGGTCGCTGCCAACCTTGACATTACACCACTGTACATTGTTGGAAGCTACAGAGAAAGTCAACGCTGCCTCTCCTCACTCCTCTGGGAGAGGTTTTCATCTGCTCTCCATATCTGATATTCATCAGGCAGGTTTCTAAGAACCATTCTAACCTTTAACTGTCTTTCTTCACCTGACTTTCCCATCCAGTTAAAATATTACTGCATTTGATTAGATTCCTTCAAAGCAGGCGTTTTGGGACAGGTCTCAATTAAGTGTTTAAAATAGATGGGTGAAATGATTACATTAATAATTTTTTTTTTGCCATCTGGAACCACACCTGAGAACACCGGAGCCGAGCTGCAATTAAGATGAATATTCTTCAGCATGACTGCTTGGCAGAAATCATTATAGCAAATTCAAACGGATCTCTTTGTGGCAACTGCGACACACTACAAAAGGAAGTTCCAGGAGCACGTCAGGTGGAGGGGAAATGTGGGGCCTTCATCAAACACAGCCCTGGAATCAGAGGTTCAGAAGGCAGGTGCAGAGAACCAGACTGATAAGTTTGTTATGTAAGATGTGATGTAGTGAAGCCAAAGTGAGCCAGTGAATCATGTGCATACCAATCGGCCCTGCCTGCAACAGAGTCGTTCCAAATTTTGTTAGTGAGCAGTTTGCGTGGATCACAACGAGGGAAGGAGGGAGTGGTGACTAAATAGTTAGCGGCAGTGTGGACCCGACTCAGAAGAAGCTCAGAGACACGACTGGGGTGTCTCTTTACCTCCAACGTGTGGAGGTTTGTGCACGGGTGGCGAGAGGAGGCATGCAGTTCTGCTAAAGGAAAGCCGTGAATCACCAGTCCCTCCATGAGAAGGCAGGCACCGACGGGGAAAGCTCTCACAGCTCCTGCTCCTGGAGGCCACAGCTTGAGATCTTTGTTTACGCGGTTGAATCAACAAATCAAACTGGAATCAGGAAGATGCTGTGTAAGGACGCCAGGCTCAGAGAGACAGACTGTACAGTGAAAAAGATATGCTTCTGTATTTTTTTTTATGGGGGGGGTCAAAGCACAAACATAAGCATCTGTTTTTTATGTGTGTTGCAATCTCAACTTGTTAGCAGCACAGATGGGAGATGGTGAATTGTGGCTCATCACCAAAACTCAAACAACCATTGTCCTCTGAAATCATTAGTCATTGCCATACTTCAACCTGTCTGGAAATCTATTGGAGCTGCACTGTGAATTGTGTGTGTGTGTGTGTGTCTGTGTGTGTGTTTGAGTGCCTGATTTGGACAGAAACGCACCAGGTGACCATGAGTGACATCAGACTCTACGTGTTCGGTTACACCTAGTGACGCAGTCAGAAGAATACAACTGCATTTGTGATTTACTGACTGGCATCACCGTTACGTAAACTGGAGGAAAAAATGCACGCAACCCACTAAACTACAGAAGCAACACACAAATCAAATATACTCGTTCGCCAGCTTGTGGGGGGACTCCAAAGTTGACTGCTTTCATATTGCGTTTTAATTCGGCTCATTACGCAGAGATCCGCAAGTTATTTGAACATCGGTTTGTGTGGACAGGGACCATTAGTTTAAACGGAGAGAGAAACAGTTTGCACTTGCCTTGGATGTCATGGGCTGGATGGGCACGTTGCTCGGGGAGAGCTGAAGCTGCGAGTCGCTCTCCATCTCACAGTTTTCAGTCATCATTGGTACTCTGCTGCAAAGAGTCGTTAGCGACGGAAATAATTCAAAAAAAGAGTTTCAACTCATCAATTTGGTTCTGGTCTGAAGAAGCCTGAACTTGAGATGTTCAAAATAATCGCCCAAAGCGCGCACGGTGTGACAGGTCCACCTCAGGGGGGTTTGGGACGCGGTGCGGTTAAATTGGAGATGGAAATCGATAGCTCCTGGGATTATATCTTTTTCCTGCCACACTCATTAGGAGAAGGGGCTCAGCCTTGCTGGTGGACGGTCCTGTATCGTCCTCTTGTTGCAGACTGAGAAGCTCCAGTGTGGCACAGTTTCGTCTCCCGAGTCCAAATAATGTCGGTGCGTGAATAGCAACTGAAAAAAAACAAAAAGTTCACCCTGCAGTGTGACTGATCCGAAGAGTAGAAAAATCTGAACTAAATGCGCTCTTCGCTACGGCACATACTTAAATTTAAGCGCAGTCTGGGGCACGCCTCTCCACGCGTCCGTGGCGCACGATTGGCTGAAATGTTTACAACTCACTCAGAATGAATACAGACCAAATCAGGCTTTGTGGTCATGTGTGGAGGGTAATCAAACACCCAAATATAGAACATCTTAAAATTTACCAACCGAGAGCTAATTTTCTCCATAAAATTCGGTCTGTTTTGAGATGCAGCAGCTGGGAAGCGTCTTGTGTCGGGCTGCCCCATTTAACTCCACCATGCGTCCCCCAGGGCTGGAGTAGCGTGGTTTAAAACGATTTCTGTGAATATTAAACAGCTTAGACCGAAGCAGGAAAACTATCTATTTAGCTGGGCTTCTTTCTGTTAGTGTTTGGGATTTGACGAGGAAATGGGCCATGCCTCCCCCCCCTCTTTCAGTCTCTTATCAGTCTACCAGGTTCATTTTCCCCCAGCATGCTTCCCAGCAGCTATGAAAGCTTGACTTAAAGACGTCGCACTGAGGTTAGAGTATTAGTATGTCTGATTTAAAATGCTCCCTCATCTCCTAAACGCTTTAGACAGACCTATAGAGAACCTCCCATTGATCTTAAAAACACTTCTGATGAAACAGTGAAGCAACAAGAAACAGTTAGAGCCAACAAAGGTTAAAGACAGGGAGAGTTGAGGAAATCATATTTCCAAGTGAGTTCAATTCCAATTTCAGAACAATTCCCTAACTAAATTGAACGCATCTTTTTGCCTCCCCTGACGCACGTCCCATAAATATACATACACAGCTATACAATTGCAGTCTGTGCAAGTTGAAAACCTTGGAAAAGAATAATTTCGCTCAGATTATTTCGTATGTTGGCACTCGCATCCCCTACCGGTAGCCCCCTACCGGACCCCGGCTCCGCCCGGTAGCCCGGTAATAAATATCCCGGTAGCTCCGAAACCGGCCACCCCAGGGCCCCCCGCCTACCGGGGGCCAGTCCTCCCCAGAGGGGAGTACCGGACCCGGCTCGTTAACTACAAAGTGCTTTAAGTCAATGCACCTTATTCACCCATTCACACACACACTAATATATCTGGGAAATAAATAGGCACATTTCTCTTTATCCTCACTGTCTTCTTTAACCAAAGACCTGACATCAAAGTTTTCTGTAGGCTGTCAGACACTCTCTGAGTGTGGGTGTGCTAGAAAAAACAAAGGGAGAGAAAGAAGGGGAGCTTCAGTTATCATCTCAATTATAACTTCAGCCAGAGACAGAGACACTCAAGAACAGGAAAATTCACCAAAAAAAGAGAAGTTCTCCACAGCTCGGATTTTGCTGTTGACAGTAAACATGAGCATAGTCTGTTTTTTTTTTTTTTTGAGAAACTGGATCTGGGCCGTCTGTGTTGAAACTCAGCTTAAAGAGCTGAAAGAGAAACCAACACCATGCCTTTAAATTGCTCCCCACGGTGCCACTCTCCTCCCATCCTCATCCATGCGATATGCCCCAGGTGCCAGGATGCTCCGGCTAAAAAACGAACATTAAAAAACAGCAGCAACCACGCTCTGACTCTCGGTGATTAAAGGTGAGGGAGAAAAACGAGATGATGAGGGGAAACACAATGACTCTCATGCGGCGGAAGACAGATCCCAGCCGTGACAGCCGTCGTCATGGAGCAGCCACAGGACCAGGGCTGCTGCACTCTCCTCCGGGATAAATTGATACTGATTGTTGGTCTGTGCTTCCACCTCAGACAACTGGGCATCAGCACACAAATACAGAGACTTGACTGCACGCAGTTTGAGCACCAAGGGAGCCTGGAGTATATTATTTTAAAGATGAAGTCGGTAATCAGTTATCTTTGCTTCTACCCAGTAAAGTCCAAGTGTTTGCTGTATTGCTTAATTTCATGATTTATAATTCTAAAGAATGAGGACGCACTGATCCGACTAGTTCATTTACATGAAATTTGGAAGCGGTTTGGTATTGGGGAGACTGAGGGATTTTGTGAGACAGCCCTTTAGGAGCCCATCAGAGTAAGTTAATTTAGGTCTGTAGTATGAACAAGACACAAAAAAAACATAATGCAGTGACTTGTAATACTTGTACTTGTACTTATAATTAGATTTAAACAAACAAAGCTGATTTAGAAAATCTAGAAAAAACTAAAAACTGGACTGCAAACATCTGGTTCTAAAAAGACTCAAACTAATACTAACGTGATGGGAAATTTAAGTAGCCAGGCACCTCATAAAAGCAGGCAGCAGGCCTACAGGTGCAGAAACACAGAGGACTCAGGACGACTCCAAACACCATCATCATCATCATCAAGAGTGAATTCCAGATCCACCATGTAAATAAGAAAACACATTCATAAATCCAGATCATGAAATCAATGTGGAAACCAAAGTCTGAAGAAAAATAAATAGATCAATACACACTTTCATGTGTGAACATGTTCCTTCCAGTTATGTTTTTATCTGAAATTAAGTTCCATTGAATAGCTGAGTGAATAGAAATAAAACAATGATAATCAGAGAAATAAATACAACTGACTCTCTGCTGCCATCTGCTGCAGTTTTAAACCACCATTTCGTCACTAAAGAGCATTTTTAATAATAGTGAGAAAACCAGGCATGTCTTAATAATATAGGTATATATTTATTCATACGTACATATTCATTTATATTGGTTAATTGTAAAAAAAAAAGAAAAAAAAAAAGAAAAAAGAAAAAAAAGACTAAATGGAAAAAGATTTACAATAATTGTATGAACTACAGTCATTGTCAAAACCTTTTGAAATTTCTCAGGAGTCAATCTGCCACCTGCACAGACTCCCTGTAGATTCTCCTCTGGCCCTCCATTAAAACTTGACCTTACTCCAGTGTTTGGGATCAAACGTGCCAGAAAACAAGATGGTCCAGAGCGCATCAGCTCCACTTCCATGTAAACTGCTGGGAGCGTCGACAGAAAGACACACAGGTGTTTGATACTGAAGAGGAAGAAAAAAAACAGTCCTGTGTTTTGCTGTGTGGAGCCTGTAGTGTATTTTGTACCATGAGAGGACTGATGCCGAGAAAAACGAAGCCTTTAGGAGCAGGTTGCTAGCTGCACTTAATCAAGACGAGGTCAATGTGACATTTCATCCAAGTCTCTCATCTGCGACTTTTCCTTTTTCCTTGGGTGGACCATCAGAGCACAGTGGCAGAAAACATTGTATTCCTGCTCCATTTTTACCCCCATTATCCCTAAAATAAAATAAAAAACACTGAAAGAAAACAGATCCTGGTTGAGTACTTTGGATTCATCTCAGTTTGTCATTGCTGTCAAATTTCATACGGAATAGAATCATCATTCAGCCTTTTGTCCAACACATGGCAGTTGCTGCGCACGATAAAGCAGAATGAGAAGATTTGTGGGCGATTAATATCCTACAGTAGGTTTAGCACTTCATGTCTCATTTGCTGCATTAGGGCAGAGGGCATCGAATCGAGTTACGTGGAAATGCAAGGCATATAGATCAAGGAGCGGAACGCCCGCTTATGGGAGAAAAATCTTCCTGCTTTTGCGGCACACATTGCCTAAAGAGCCTTCTCCTCGATGGAAACATTCAATAAGTAGCCCGCACATCAATACACAAACTCCACTTCTCACATTAAAAGAGAAACGAAACAAAAAAATCCATCTCACATTTACTACAATTGCACTGTGCCAACCCTTCCTGTGGACGAAGGCTAAAATCTGGACATTTAGTAACAACAAACTCTTAATGAAAACAAATCCCATCAGATGAAAACTAAAGAATGAAAAGAGGGCTCAAAACTCAAGTTGGAGACATTGAACTAATGACTTGAAACACTACGCAGGTGGAACCCAAACCACAGCAAAACAGAAAAGCAGAGAAAGTCAGAATTTAAAGGAAATCATGTCAAAGGAAAAAAAAAAAAGAAAAAAGGAAGAGGTACAAGACATTTAGAAAGTAAAAGAGACAGAACAAAGCAGGTGCACGTGCAGGACAAGGTAAACTATAAGAAAAGGCTTCAGTAATTCAAAAGGTAGGGGAGCCAAAGTCCCTTTTATAGCCCTCGGTGACTAAAATCCTTCCATCGAGTCTGTCAGCAGGCTGCAATTGTGCGCTCAAGATTCATTCGACCTCCTCCTCAAGTGACACCAAAAGTCTGATCTGGATTCAACCTGCAGCCACGTCACTGGTCCCATACAGGCGGAGGTCACAGGCGGCGCCGTCACTCCGTCCCGTGCAAGGCCTCATGGGAGCTGAGACACCGCGGGGAGCCCCCCACCTCTGCGAAGGGTCCCCCACTTCCTCATCGACGACGCAAAAACAAGAGCAACTTAAATGGATCAAACTGAAAGAAGACGTACTTTTGATTGTTTTCTGTTGGCTTTTTCTTTCCGTTTTTCTTGTCCGACAGCATAAATTCATGTAGTGTAATCCCCCCCCCCC